ACAAATTTACTTTTGCAAAAAACAAAAAAAACACGGCAAAAAATATTCTAACCACATAATTTAATATTAACGCTAAAATATTTTGAGGGAAAAAGTTTATTTTGCACCGCTTGACTAATAAAATTAAATTTAATAGCGCTGGTTTTTGGTTTAATAAACTAAATACAAAAGCAAATTACCGGCTTTCATTTTCTAAGGAATTCTTTACTTGTTAAGCAAAATAAAATTTGTAGTTAAAAAAAAAAGCAACCACAGCTGATCACACAATAAATGTGATTTAAATAGATTAAAAGAAAAATTAATTGAAATTTATGATTGCTTGCAAAATTTTCTTTATCACATTTTAAAATAAAATAAATAAAAAAAAATACAGAATAATTTTTTATATCCTTATAAACAATGGTGCATAGCACAAAAACCCAGGCAAAATCAAGTTGTTGTATAAGAAAAGTTATGACAGAAATCTTATTTAATTTGTATTCAATCTATGCTGGGACTAATCTCAAAAATAATTAACTCATATCATGATAATTACGTTATCCAGGTTTTGCATAAGCAAGTTTTTGGAATAAGTAAGCCCCCCCTTTCATTCTATTTAAGATCAATAAGGCTGCCGAAAAAATTATTACCAACAATCAATCCTTGTTGCAATAGATTGCGGTATATTAATTATATGCCGATTAGAACTGATGATAATAGCTGAATAAATGCCTCATTTATAATTAAAAACTCTAAAAATCTAGCAATATAAAAAACTGCGCCATGAATTAATTAAAATTAAATTTTCATTGTATTTTAAGGTAAAATTTAAAAAAAAAATAAAAACTTTTCGAAATCAGCTCGAAATTTAAATTATAATTCAGAAAATCAAAGAAGAGTTAAACACTTGACTTATTAATTTTGTTATGTATAGTGTGTCTGCCTTTCAAGTAGAATACTTGATTCTTAATAAAACAAATTTGTTTTTTTTTTTTTGTTAAAAAGTTCTCTTTAGAATTCGGAATTTTTACTTTATTTATTTTGTTTATAGAGTGGAATTTTCGGAACTTTTATTTATTAATTAAATAAAATTTCTTTGAAGTCATTGTTTAAAATATATTGGAACCAGGTTATAAGTTAAAAAGTAACCAGGTTAAAAAATTTAGTTATTTCATATATAATTTTCGATTCTAAATTTAAAAATTCTAAAACAAATTAAATCTATAAATCCTCCGTCTATCTATTCCCGTAAAATGGTGCAAAAACTTATTTTTAATTAGAAATTTATAATTTAATTTCTCCTTAAATATTTGATAAGTAATAGTAAGAACTACAATACCTAATAGTAAAACAGCGTAAAGAAGTTGAGGTCGGAAATTGAAATTCGAATAAAATCAGAAACCATAAGCAAATCAATTCAAAATTTTTTCATAAGCTACACGAATGCGAACTCAAATAAAAGCCCCAATACAAACAAAAACTCAAATCTGAATGAGCCCAAACTAAAGCAACGAACTTGAACTTAAACACGAACCCAAACCAAACCCAACTGAAGCGAGTTCGTATCTGAACACGAAAATAAATTCAAAGCCGAACACAAACCCGAACCTGCACTGTATACGAACATGAATCCGAATTCGACCACAAAAAAAGTTTTTGAAGAATAACGACTATTTAACTAAAAAATTTTTGGTTTTTCAAATCACGTATATCGCCTTAATTCGCCATAAAGTCTTATATAAAAAGTAAAATCTATAGAATTAAAATTTCATTTTCAATTGAAGCGCTCAATGTATTAGCAGAATATCCAACATTTTTGCAAAAATGAGTTATTATGTTCAATAGAGCTATAACGACCTGAAGAATTGTTCTATGTTTTTCAAATTTTTTAGTTTACTCCTCTTTACATTCTACTTTAACATAAATTCGTTTTTGCCTTTTAAAAATCTTCTTAAATATTTCAATCGCAACTCATACCCGAAATGTTATTTTTGCACATTGCTTATGAAAAAATGAAGGCAATAATTCCAGAAACCGAATACATTGTATTTCAAATTGAAATCTTTTTTATTTCATGCAATTTTCAATTGTCATTAAATTCGATTTGAATCACAGCACCTGAAAATTTACTAATATTCTCTTTTGGAATTTCAAAATTGAAAATAAAATAAAATTAAAATGTACAGGATAAAGTTTTATTATAAAAGTGAAATTTATATTATTTTCGTTCTCTGTTTGTTATTATTATGGACTTATGTATGTAATAATTTTATTTAAAATAAAACCAAATAAAAATAAAAACCCATCCAACCACCACAAAGAAATTATTTTTTGGAAAGTATAGTCGAAATAAAGAAAATAATATTATTTCTTTTTTATCCCTAAGAACTCAATTCTAAGAACACAAAAGTTTTACTTTTCTATACTAAATATCCGAATTACTTTGGTTTCCTATATCAAGTCTCTTTCTACATTATTTTTAATTTACAATGAAGTTTTAATAAAGTTAGTATAAGGATTTTTTGATATTTATTTCTTTTAAAATCGTTTCACATTTTATTTTTTTGTTTTTATAAAATTTTATTCTCAAAATTTATAGATTTTGAAAAAGTTTTCAAAAAAATTATTGAATAAATTGAATTTTTTTTTGTTTAATAAAATATTACGAATATTATTTTGTATAAGTTAATAATTTAGGTCAAAAATTCCTTTTGATCAACTTTTTAACAAAAATTTATTGATAATAATAGGAAATTGCCAAAAATAAACAAATTGAAATGGAAATTGAATGAAAATTAAAAAATTGAAATATTTTAATAAAGTTTTTGTAAATTTTACAATTACCATTTAAACTGAAAATTTAATTTAATAATGTAGGAAATACAATTAAAATCTTTTATTTATTGAAACACGAGCCTTATAAATTACAGTGATTTTATTTTAAATTAAAGAATTTTTAGAGTTCAAATAGAATGTCTACGTTTTTAAAGTCTGAAATTGCTAATGACATGAATTGTCATTAATTTTTTAAAAATGACAACAGTGTTGACAAATCTAATTGCATAAAAAGTGTTAGTCGTCATCGCCATTCTACTACATTTTAATAAAAAAATTTACAGTTAATGATATTTTACATTGTGCTTATTTCTCTTAATAATGCTAAATAAAGTTGTGCTTGAAATTTATTGTTGTCATACAAGATATATTTAAAGCGTACCAGCGCCCTATTAGTAACTTATCACATACTGCTTTTCAGCTTATCATAAATTTGGTTGCACCAAAAGTTTTTAATTATAACTTGTGATTCTTTCATATTGTGCTAAATAAAAATTTCTATATATTTTACACGGTTTAAGGCAACGTAAAATCAAGAATCTTTTTTGATAGAGTAATTAAGTCAATAAGTACTTTAAAAATAAAATTATTAAAATAAAGTATTAAGCTTCATTATTAGTAATATTTTAAAATTTTAAGACTTATAATAAAACTGAAAATCGGAAGTAAACTTGCTGGTTCTCAAATTCAATTCTCTTTCGAGTTTCAAAATTTCTAATTTATTTTTATATAGTTCCGACTCCAAAACTTGTTTCTTTAAAGAAACAAGTGGGTCCGTTTCTATTTTTCTTTTTTGTCCAGAAAATTTATGATTTTCTAGACTTTTAACAGGAGTTTGGGAAGTTGAGCAAGCCAAAGAAACATCATCTTCGGGTAATTGAACTTCATCCGACTCAAAACGCTGAAGTCCAGTAACCACTGCCATGTCAGTGCCAATAATTTCTAAAATGACTTCATCCACCTCATTCAACAAAACTTTTTTTCCTTCCCCCGTGCCCGGTTTTTTCGAATTATTCATTTTGGCCTACAAATTATAATAAAAATATGTATTATTTTAAGATTAAAATTAAGAAAAAATTTTAATATTATTACTAAAGTTCGGCTTTTCCAAAGACCAAAAAGATGGTCTCTAGCATAATACCAATCTCTGTTCGTTTCAGCTAACCCCAAAGATTTCGCTTTAGTGATAACCTCCTCCCATGCTTTTTGTTTTTCCGCTTTGGTGGTGGAGTTGTTTTGGAATGATCCAAATAATATGTCCTAAAAATATTTTGTACTATTGTATATTCTTTACAAATAAATACAAGATTGATTTTAGATAGGTACTTTATATTTTTTAATCACTTCCAAAACGGTAAGTTTTTTTTCTTTTGAATTGCTTCGTTTCATTTTTTTTAACACAAAATTAATTTTACATTATGATATTTTTAAAACAACTAAATCCAATGAGAAATAAAACTGTAATGATAAGTTCTTATCAAATTACAAAACGCAATTTTTTTGGGGCTTAGCACTTATCATTTTTACTTATCAAAAAATGATAAGTTGCAAAGTTGATTAGTGACTAAAATTTATATAACTTTGATGCAACACATGACACACTTATCTTATCAAAAAAAAAATTATGTTGTAAGTTGGTAAATGAGAAGTGATAAGTTGTTGGCTCAATAAGGCCTGGTTCTAGTTGTATTTCTACAATAATTTTTAACTTTTTCAATATTTTAATCTATGCGTATATTAGTATACTGGGTAAGAAAATGAGAGTAATTTCTTTTCTCTTTAAAAAAAGAAGAGCAACTGCGTGTAATTTTGAATTTGTGTCGTACACTGAGAATAATTTAGTAAATAGTAAATTTCTTTAAAATTTAAACTAAATTTCTTTTACTATTCGAAGAAGAGCAGCACAGCATAGTATGTTTACAACTATGTATTACAAAATACATAGTTGTAAACATACAGATTTTCAAATATAGTTGAATATAAAATCTCAGTATGCACTCTAACGCAACTTGTTTTTGTAGATTCCATAATCCAATGTTTATTTTAAATAATTTCAATTATTTACTGGTGACTCGCATCAGATATTGCAAAAGTATAAATGCAATTTTATAAAATTCAAGAACTTCAAAATTTTTTTTATTTTATTCAAAAAAGTTATTAAAAATATTTATTTTCATTATATATAGATTATTAGTAAAGATGATCATCATTGGTGGCAAGCAAGACATGATGCAGCTGGTGGTTCAGCTGGTTTAATACCATCGCCGGAATTACAAGAATGGCGTATTGCATGTCAAACTAGTGATAAATCAAAACAAGAGCAAGGTAATTTTAAATTTCATTTTCGACCCCCTACATATACATTTTATGCATTATTACGAAAAAAATAACAAAAAACCAATTTCATAAAATTAATAATATTTTAATTTTAAATATAAAATTAAGGCCAAAACAAAAAAAAAACAGATATTTAAAAAAAAAATTATAAAAAATCATAAAAAAATTCATAATTTTCATTATAAAAAAATAAAAAGCAATTTAACCCCTTATTTTATATACATACATATTAACTCCTATATTCATGTATAATTTAAAAAAAAAAATTAAATTAAAAATATTAAATTTTTTATTATTCATCATTGTTCAATAAGTTTATGTTTTATAATTTTGAAATTCAAAATTTAAAAAAATAAGAATTAAAAACAAAATAAAAAATTTTAATTATGTTTTATAAATTATTTTAAAGTTTTTATTTAAAAAAAAATTTTAAAACTATAACAAATTCTATAATGTCCTTCTGTCTTTTTCTGTCTCTCTCTATATCTATATATATTATATATATATATATATGAATATATTAAAAATATTGATGTACTTAAAATGTTTGATTTTAATTTCAAGTTTTTAAATCTTTCTGTCGTTTTAATTTTATTTCACATCTCAATTTTCACTTTTTAATTTATAATTTTTTTTTATTTTTTAATTTTAATTTATTAATTTTTAATTTTTATTTGAAATCATTATGAATTCATTCATATTATTTAATTATTAAATAAATTAACAAAATAATATTTATAAATTAATTAATTCAAATTAAAAAAATATATTAATTATTAATCTATATATATTTATATATATATATATATCTATAACTGTCGTTAACTGAGTTTCTATATATAAAATAATATTTGGTGTGGTTTTGAATTGAATTCATTATATATACATTATATATATATATTTATTATATACTATTAATTACATATATATATATATATATATAATAAGCAAAAAATTATTGAAAATATATGAACGTTTTATTTTTCTTTACAAATATTTTTATTATATTTATTGATTTTTTTTTTATTAATTTCATATTATATTTAGTAAGTAATTTAATTTTAATTTTTAAACTAATAAATTTCGAATATTTTAAAATAGAATTAAATTCGATATAGAAAATTAAATAATCATTATTTTCCTTCAAGATTGCATTAAAAAATTAACATTATAATTGACTTTCAAGTGTGACCGTATCAAGTTTAAATTTAAATTGGATTAAAATCAACCTTCACCATAAATTTGTTATTAATAAATATACATATTTTACAAAATGGCGTTATTAATTTTTAATCAGTGCTTGAAAATCATTAATAATAACAGGAGTTAAATTTACTCCTTAAATAATTAATGTTCAATTCTGCTCTATTTTCCGCATATAAGTGTGGCCATCTTAACAATATTATGATAATACTAAATAATGACATGTTATAGAATTTCGTCATAGTTATTAAACAAAATAGCAATTGTTGAAATAAATTTTGAAATATCTATAAAATATTAATTAAAACAAACAATTTTTAATAATTGTTTATATATTTTACAAAATTTTCAATATACATACATAACTTACGATAGTGTTATGAAAAGTATAAATTTCAGCAATTTTCTGTGAAATTCAGGAAATTTCTTACTCGTATGAATTGTAATTATGTTTTTTCGCAAGTATGCCAACTATAAAAGTTTGGAGAAATCCAACAGCTATTACTAACGCCCAACACGTTATATTGCGAAAAGTTTCTTTTGTCTTCTCTTACCTTCTCTTACCTTAAGTAATCCAGCATATTCTAACGCAAAATTCTGCTTCACCTGAACTTAAAATAAAATTAATTTAAACAATTTTTAATTTAGATTTTCATTTCTTTGACAGCATATTGTGTTCTATTTTTATTTTAGTATATTAGTAATTAGGAAAAAAAATAATTATTTTACATAATCATATAATTTTTTTGTTAAATTTGTTTAAACAAAAAATTTTACGAAAACAAAAGCAATTAAAATAATATTTAAAGGTTAAGAAAAAAAAAAAACAATCCTGCTTTTTTTCTTAATTTTAACCACTTATAACAGAACGTCTTCGAAAAAAATTATAAACTATTTATTTATAAACTATTAATTAAAAGCTTAAATATTATTTTTTTTTATTTTATTTATATTTTATTTCCTTACTAATTCTTATTTTAATTTCATTGAAGAAAAAAAAATTTACATTTATAACAGTGATTTGTTTCTTAATTTTATTTTCTATATAATTAATTTTTTCTGTTTTGTATAATGTCATGTGTCATTTTTTGTCATTGTGTCATTTGTCAATGTCATTTTTATGTCATTTTATACTTATTTTCCATCTTTGTCTAGATCCTCTCTTTACATTATGTATTATGTATCACATTCACATAATAATTTCACATATAAAAACATCATAATAATATAAATATATAAATTTATATATATATTTACAAAAAAAATAAAATGTCATCATATATAATATCAATTGTCATAATACATATATGTATATATATATATATATAAGTGTATGTACATATTTTTATGTATACTATAAAAAAAAATTAAATAAATTAACGGGTAGATCATAATATTATATATATACATATATATGTACATAAACATGTATAATTGTAAATAGCTGTGTATGTATGTGCGTCATTTTTGTGTAAGTGTGACTTTAATTTTCATTATTTTTTTGATTTTTACATTATCCACCATTTCATAATTTTCTTAAATTAATTAATTTAACTATTTACTGAAATAAATTTAATTAATTTTAAATGAATATTGATCACAACAGTTTACGGGACTTAAGTAACTAATTTCGGGCTACGTACTATAAATATCTATTTATAGAAGAACAAGTCAAATTGAAGTCAAAGTTCTTCAATTTTATTAAGAGTATTCGACAATAATCATCAAATTTTTAGAATAATGCTAATAAATGAATGTAATAATGTACAGCATAACTCAACAACAACTTGGAAGTAATATACTATCAGGTCGAAATGAGTAAAATTTTTGTTCGGAAAACAATGTCAAATAGAGGAACTTTCAAATCGGATATATATAAAATTTTCCCTCTAAAATCTTTGTAGCTCTATGATCCGAACAAAACTTGTATTCACTTTCAACCACCTACTCCATTGTATGTAGCTGAATCTACAATTTTGTGATGAATTGTTGCTGAATCGTATATAATAAAAAAAAATTTATTGAAAAATACCTCCGAATTGCAATAGATTTGAAAGTATCTAAATATTCAAAAAATTTATCTTATACAGTAAAACTTGTCAAAGCTGGACATGCACGTGACGGAAATTTTTTTCTAGCTCAAACAGTTTTTCAAAAATACTTACATTTTTATTTTAGATACAATCCTTTTCATTAAAATAGAATTATTATTAAGATTTTAATCGTACAAATTATTAATTACTAGTACTCGTATATGTTTGTGCTTCTCAATTTTATTAAAATATAATAAAATGAAATAAGCGATAAATTAAAAAAAAATATGTATATTGAATAAAATATGTATGACATTTGTGGTAGAAATTTCGTAATTTCCGGCATTGCCAGGCTACAAACATATAAAAATTCATGTATTTACAAGTATTTCCCCTAAGTGTCGCGTTTGACAAGTTTTCTCATTTTTACATATACAAAAATTTTTTATGGGCAGCATATATAAAAATTTTTATTAAAAATTGGAATTTTCCTGGTAAATATAAGTTTTTGCCTTTGACAGTGTCCATTTCCAACAAGTTTTACTGTAATTGATATATTTTCTAGATATTTTGAAAATCTACATTAGTTTCGATTAGCAATAACGGCAACACCTCTTCCCAATTCATTAAGCTATATTTTTTCTTTAAATCAGCTATTATGCTTTAAATTCTACCAGGCAAACAGAATAAATTTTCTTTAAAGAAAAGTAATATTTTCCTAAAAATTCATTTGTTTTTCTTAAAAATATTTACTCAGAATTCCTGAAATTATTAAGATCTCTAAATAATAAACAAAGTTAAAAAAAATTTATTCTTTCCTTTTAAAAACAGTCATATTTTAATAACGTATTCAAAAAATATTTTTCTTAGATTTAGTATATGAACTTTAAATGCCAAATAAAAAAAATTATTTATTTTAAAAAATTTAACTTTTCCATTAAAAATTTTCCAAATATGTAAATTATTTTTCTTTTAAAAAAAAACAACAGGAAGAATAAAATAACAAACAGGAAATTTTCATTTTATTTATTTCTCAAAAAGATTTTAATAATTCATTAAATTTTTCTTATTGTCTTAAAATTTGTAAATTAATTTACATTAAGAGAAAAACATATGTATGTAAAATTAACATGAATGCCGTGGAAATATAAGAGCCAATTCCTTGAACAGAATTTATTTTCAAAACTTTTTACAATTATTTTGAATTTTCATCAAAACATTTTTTCTTCTTCTTCTACAATAATTTCTTTGAAAAGTAAATAAAAGAGTTTCCGTTTTACAAAAAAAAAATAAAACAAATATGTATGAGTTTTATTTTTCTTAAATTAATTACTTTTCAAATTCCTTAATACTTTTACTCTATGACATAATTATATTTAGTTCTGTGTATATCAAAATCAGCTACACTCAAAATTATACCATAAGCTGTCAAAGTTTCTTTAATTGTTTGTTTGTTTATTTGTATATTTTTCATTTCTTTCAAAATTTCTTCAAAATATTTCCATTTAGGTTCTAAAAATATTTTCACAATTTCTAATGAAACAAATTTTAATTATTTAATTATATATAGAACACCTGTAGAGAATAGCTTTCAAAAATTCTTTTTTATTTATCCCTCTAAATAGTTTATTTCTTTTTCCCACCCCACTTATTAACGGTCTTACTTGTTAGAGTAAAACTCAAGTCAGTTAAAATTTTTTTCATAAAAAAAAAATTATAATTTTGTGCTTAAGTTATTAAATTTTTAAATTG